ACCAGCAATAGTAATGAAACTAGAATTTATATAAAAAAATGCCTTCGTTTGTCTCTCCGAAACTTTTCTCTCAAATTCCTTGATCAAACGCTACAAATCTCGTACCATTAGAAAGGCCTCTGTCCAAGGAGTCCGGATTGCATATTGGCATTTCCATTCATAATAACCTTACCTTATTTGCTTAGTCAAACTTTTCAATGTAACTAATATCGTACACGATGACACAATGTCGTTGTCGTCACGTGACGACTGGCTTTGATTTCAACTTTAGTATTTATTTGCAACGTATTTCACACAAACAACACTTAACCCACGTGAAATTTTCTTAAAAAATGAACATTACATTAAATACAATGTATACGAGTCATTTTGAATTATTTTGGTCTAAAATACGCATGCACAGTTTGTTCAAAACTATATGCTCATCACTTTGTGAACGACGTTTCTTCATATGTCATTACAACTTAACATTTACTTTACTTTGCAATAGATTAGTTTCGGTTCTTTTCGTAGACTGTTATAAACACCTTATAGCTACTTGTTTCTTTAGTACGGGTTTATTATTCGTTTTTATTACCAATAAGTCAGCCTCGTATTCTTCTTACACTGGATAGAGCACAATTTGAGCTCCTGGCAGAAATGAATGGATGGACAGAGGAGCAGAAAGCAGTGTACCTACCAACAAGCCTGAAGGGTCAACCATTGAAAACACTTGGCCAGTTGTCAGTAGACAACAGGCACAACTATAGAGCACTGGTAGCTGCTCTAGAGCTCAGGTATGGAACTCAAAATCAGTGTGAAGTCTACAGGGCTAGGTTTAGGACGAGAGTCCATGCTAAAAGGGAGAGCCTGCAAGAGCTGGCGCAGGACTTGGAAAGTATGGCACACAAGGCTTACCCAACTGCACCACCCGATGTCCTCAAGCTGTTGCTGAGGGATCAGTTTGTAGATGCCTTGAACAGTTCACAACTGAAGATACAAGTAAATCAAGCACACCCCTCTACTATGCAGGATGCAATGGCCAGAGCTCTTGAATTCGTATCATATGTTAAGTCAGCACAGAGGTACCAAAGTTGATACAGTCATCAGGATTCAAGGCCAGAAAAGGGCTGCTTTCAGAGAAGTTTGAGGGACTTTGCTGGCACTGTAACAAACCTGGGCACAATAAAGCTCAATACTGGAAACTTCAACACAGGGAGGATGCCACAGCAGGAAAGGCTGCTACCCAGAAAAGTTATTGGAACTGTGGAGAGCAAGGACATATGAGGAGATGCTTCCCATGGTGCCTTCCCATTGAATTCTGTGGCTTCCTTCATACTAGATCACCAATATTGCTGACATTTATATCTGGGATGTGACTTCTAACAGGACTGAAGATGTCTCCATTAGGGTTTAGCTGTGGGGTCTGGAAGGGGCTTGCCGTTGTCTCGGGCTGATTAAGTCAATGGTTAATGTATCCTACTTGTGTAAAAAACAATAAATCATCCTTTAATGTATTTAATTCGCTTTGAAATTTACTAATGTTTTCCATTTGTGTACTCTGGCTTTCTCTCAGTTGTTGGAGACTTTCTTCTTGTTTATTTTCTTTCTCCTCCATCCACTGCTGTAATCTCTCTTCTTGTTTATTTTCTTTCTCCTTCAACCACTGGTGTAATCTCTCTTTTGTTTATTTTCTTTTTCCTCCTACCACTGCTGTAGTCTCTCTTCTTGTTTATATTTTTTCTCCTTCAACCACTGGTGTAGTCTCTCTTCTTGTTTATTTTCTTTCTCCTCCAACCACTGCTGTAGTCTCTCTTCTTGTTTATTTTCTTTCTCCTTCAACCACTGGTGTAGTCTCTCTTCTTGTTTATTTTCTTTCTCCTTCAACCACTGCTGTTGCCTCTTTTCTTATTTCTTTTCTCGTTCTTCTTGTTTCTTTTCTTTTTTCCTCCAACAACTATTGTAATCTTTCTTCTTGTTTTTTTCTCGTTCTTCTTGTTTCTTTTATTTTTCCTCCAACAACTGCTGTAATCTTTCTTCTTGTTTTTTTCTCGTTCTTCTTGTTTATTTTCTTTCTCCTCCAACCACTGCTGTAGTCTCTCTTCTTGTTTATTAAATGTAACAGTGTACAGTTAGTACTGACTTAGCAGAAATGTAACAATGTACAGTTCGTACTAACTTAGCAGAAATGTAACAATGTGCAGTTCGTACTAACTTAGCAGAAATGTAACAATGTACAGTTCGTACTAACTTAGCAGAAATGTAACAGTGTACAGTTTGTACTAACTTAGCAGAAATGTAACAATGTACAGTTCGTACTAACTTAGCATAAATGTAACAATGTGCAGTTCGTACTAACTTAGCAGAAATGTAACAATGTACAGTTCGTACTAACTTAGCAGAAATGTAACAATGTACAGTTCGTACTAACTTAGCAGAAATATAACAATTTACTAAATACGCACACAATGAAATGACATTAGGATTTTCAGAAGAATGAAGTCACTTTTATTAATCTCCAACTATTGCCACATTTTTACTTTGTGATATTGTTATGACATTCTAGCCCCCCATCACCAGAAAAGTGCTTTCAGCAATGGAAGTCTTTACGTATGAAGTCACTTTTATTAATCTCCAACTATTGCCACATTTTTACTTTGTGATATTATTATGACACTCTAACCCCCCACCACCAGAAAAGTGCTTTCAGCAATGTAAGTTTTTACGTATGAAGTCACTTTTATTAATCTCCAACTATTGCCACATTTTTACTTTGTGATATTATTATGACACTCTAACCCCCCATCACCAGAAAAGTGCTTTCAGCAATGTAAGTTTTTACGTATGAAGTCACTTTTATTAATCTCCAA